ATAGAAGGTTGCTCATCCAGTCAAGTGGATCCATTGTTTATGTGGCAGTGTAATACAGCTGAAAAAGTCAAGCCCTATGTGTTACTGCGCCTAATCTTTATTGCAGCGAAGAAGAAATGAAAGAACAAGGGAGCGGGGATGAACAGCCAAATGCTCTAACCTTTACAGGGCCTAAAAAGGATAACAAACATTAATAAAGAAAAAAATTACAAAAACAAAAGAATTATCTTTTAAAATCCACCCTCGACTGGGACAGGGACTCCTTCTTGTTGGTCTCCAAACCAGAAAATATTTAGACTAGTTTTGGAACCATTGTGAAACTAAAAAACATTTTAGACTATTCTTGGTGGGGTGCGCCAAGCCCAAGCCGTAGTGCAACACTAAGACAACGCCCAAGAGCCCAAGTAGCAAGCTACTGTGGTGGGCTCTTCCCCTTAAAAAATTCATTTAATATCATGTGATGTGGGACAAGAAAATGCAATACATTTTCAAACTTGAAAATCGTCTAACATTCTTATTTCCCATTTCTTGTACACGCACAGAACGCTTGTGGATGGAGATTTCAACAATTGGAAATTATAATAGCATGCATTCATTTCTCTTGTCGTCGTCCAAGCACTAGTCGAAATTTCTCCTGGCTCCAGAAGGAAATCTCAGTTTTCGACTGCAATCCCGACAACATCATAATCGACTGCATAAATTAGTTTTCATCACCATATCCAGCTCATTGCTATGCATCTACGGAAAGATCAAGAGCTCATTATCTCAAAAAAAATTCTCAACTCTATGTTGCAAAATTTATTAAATGTTAAAGCTAGTTCAAGGAGGCAAGGGCTTAACATGGAACATATGCTATCATGTACAATCTCCGGTAAAATTTAATACAAAGTTGGGTAAGAAAAATAACACATTTCCTGCAGAAATATTTGTTAGAGTACATATAGGAGAATGGACAGACATGTATACTAGAATTTGTTCAAAATGATGGTAAGTTTAAATAGTCGCTCGTCTGAGAACCTCTCGTTCTTGAAGAACAAAGGAACATTCATGAATTTAGGGAAATTTGAAGAAGGAAACACATTGTTCACTTGAACGTGGAGCATGTTTAAACTCGTATGGACCTAACTTTGCACCTCAAACCTGTAATAAGAGTAAAATTATAAGAACTCTTATGACATGGCTAATGATGGTTGCTTTAATACTAAGGCGATTACACTTCAATTCCATGGAAGATGGAAATTAAATTCTATTTTTTACTTTTTTGCATGTTTGATTGCCCCAATTTTTCATGAAATTGATTTTCCATCTTTCACTCACATGTTCACATTTTCTTGGTTTTTTTTAGTTTTTTTGTAATGTAAACAAATTCTATCATCAATTGTAACAAATTATATCCCTTTAATAGACAATTTTCATAGAAAACAATGTCAAACGAATATCAAAAAATCCAATTTTCAATATTTTCCATGTGAAAAATTATACAAATCAAACACAATTAATTGACAATTCCCAATAAAACAAGTTATAGAAAACTCAATTCCTTAGAATATATTTTCTTTTCACCCAAACTTCATTATTACAATCAAATGGACCCTAAAAGTCTAAGTGTTAGCTTTCCAACTAGTGGAGATATCATGTATGGTGCTGTACACCAAAATGCAGGGGGTATTGGTTGGACTCTCTACGGGGAAGTACTTATTCTTCGTCATTTTTTTTAATGGTCATTTGAGATAAAATCCTCTAGTTTCTGTGCTTGGAGATGAATGGGTCGGTACATTGATTTTCTTTCTTTTTCTTCTGCCACATTTCGCTCAAAGAGTTCAAAGGAGATCATAATGTTGGCAAGGGCTAACTTGACCCCTAGGAATGGCACTAACTTCACCTACCGTCTAGTCCATATTAGATGTGACCAACTACTCTTTGTACCTTTTTTATGTTTTAGACAGTTCTATCTCTATCTAATAACTTATGCATTTAGGTGAATGATTCAACATGGTATCAGATCCAACAAAGATCTTATGAAATTTGTCCATAAATGACTTTTGATGAGAAAAAAAATCTAACCTCTTGATGAAAACACAACAACGCCATCGTTTCCAGGATCACTCTTATTTAGTTCTTCAATTCACTGTTTAACTTTTTTTTTGACAATTCATATATCCATACCATGAAAAACTAAAGTTGAACAAGGTAAGACACAAGATCCCCCTTCAGCTAAACAAAAAGCGACATACGAAAGAAAGAGAGAGAGAATTTGCCCAAATGTCGCTAACCAGTCCTCGTATCAAGGCGGCTATAGGTCGTCAATGAGGAAGACATGGGCAAATGAATAAAACGTAATTCTTGATCGAAATCAATTATCAAACTACTAAGAGTTACCAAATTACCCCAATACTTGAAGGGAAATATATAAATACCCCCACGTGGCGATCATGTAGGTTTTTTCCTCTTCCGTAACCGTTTGAGAAACAAACCCAGAAAATGGTCTACATTCATTCCATCATTTAGGAACGGTTTTTGCCATTCCATGACGTTCAAAACCGCTCCCATTAACTGCACACGTTTG